TGAAGCATTAACTTTACTATGCAGAAGAGCATCCCATGGTCTAAATATACATAACAAGCGACAAAGAAAACTAATTCAAAGCCATGCTTGATTTTAGGTTGTTGAATAAGATTATCTTGCACTGAATTATTCAAAACTAGCATTAGCATTGTTGATACTTTCAAGCTTTTCTTTGTAATTTAATTGATTAATGCTATCATTTTTGTAATTTAATTGATTGATGTTACCATTTTTGTTGCTCAATTTTTGATTAGTTAAATTGTATTAGTGTCTCTCTAAAAATGTGGAGACTATAAATTCTAAATGTGATTATATATTGGTCATGTTAAGAGATTCAAAATGATGTATGCCACAATTTTAAACATCAGCTGTGGAAGTCATCCAAGTATGTGGTTTGCTATTGAGGCTGCTGTCTCAAATTGTCTTTTATATATATATATATATATATATATATATATATATATATATATATATATATATATATATATATATATATATATATATATATATATATATATATCTTTCTAACTCTATATACATTCAACAATAAGTATAATGAGTATTTGTGATGAACTTTAGGCAATATGTTTGATTTTCTCTATCGATTGGGAGCATTAATAAACCTGAGTTTTTAAAGATTAGTGTGAGAGGGTAAACAAAAACCACCAACAATTACTGAGAACTCTAGGATTTAAGCTATCAGTACCCATCAATTTAGATTAAAAATCTTTCAGTGTGAAAATCTTTAAAATTGATTGTGCTAATTTAATACAATTATTTTTAGGCAAAAATTGATTTAAATAGTGAATAACACAAATTGGTTATGTTCTATCAAATGGGTTGAAATTGGTCCATTTTGATATTCATAATTACAAATCTTTGTAATGCTTACTTTTGTGTCATTTTTTTAACATTCAGTATACTAAATCGTGTCTTAGTTATAGTTTGGTAAAATAAATAAATAAATATATATATATATATATATATATATATATATATATATATATATATATATATATATATATATATATATATATATATATATATATATATATATATATATATATAAAGATATAGTAAAATATCCAGGCAAAATAATGGCTAAAAATACTATTTTTAAAAGCCCTAAAACTGTTGCTTGTTTTGCTTACTTTTGATTCATTAAGAGATACAATTACAAAGAAGTAGGAATTGTGTCTAACTGGTCTTCATCAGGGAATTAAAACATAAACCTATTACTCTGCTTTTGCACAAATTTTACTTTGAGCTATTGAATACATTTTTGATCTGTCCAATTAAGCTCAAGATGGTATTTTTGTTCTTCCCTAGTTGTGTGACAACAACCCATTAATCTATAATGTAGTAGTGGTCATTAAAATCATTGTCTTCACTAGTAAATGACCGTATTTAATACTTGACCGGGGCTGGGTTTGATAAAATAAAGCCGGGTTTGTGACAGCGACTGCATAAACATTTATTCATCCTAAAGTACTTTTTTTAAAGTACTCGAGCTATCATCTCTATTACAATAAACTTAAATTCATTCTTGCTTGGTTTCTTATTCAACAAGTTCCATCCTTTTACTGTGTCTGTCCCTATTTATTAAATAATGGCATAAATATATGCCAGAATTTAATAAATAGTAAATGTAAGTATAAAATTATAATATATAAAGAATTATAAATTTATTTTTAAACCCAGCTATCAACCCCTGCTAAATCTTACAATTTTGCCAGGGCCAGGGCCGGGTTTGCAAAAGTCTCATTTTTAGCCGGGGCTGGGGCCGGGTCCCTGGTTGTTTACTAGTCTTCACTCTGTTTAACATTGCTTGCTTTAACAATATTTCCATCATAGCTTTTAACCAAGTCATGGTTTTCATCTGAAGAATCTTCAGACAGTTGTTGAACTTGTGTCACTTATAATTCGGCTCATTTGGTTTTAATAGTCTTTTTTGAGACCAAAATTGTCTCTTTTTCTGCACTTATCTTATTTTAGTCATTATTATTGGTTTTTCAATATTATTTACTTTCCCATTTTTTTTCTTCATCTTTTCCATAGTGTTTCACTAGCATGGTTTCTATTGCATCATTGAAGACATTTGTAATGTTGCCTCCACTAACATCATGGTTATTTGAAGAAATGCAACTGAGGACTCGATTCCTGTCAAGAGGACAAATAATTTTTTTTTACAGTTAATTCCCAATAACTAAAATCTCCAAGGAACCAAGGAAAACGATTCAACTATCATTTTGACAAATATTCGACTATAGCGAATTCCTGTTAAGTCAAAATTTGCCTGATATGAAATATTAGTTCGAGTTAAGGCAGTTTTGTTACTTGGTAATAAAATTGCATCTAAAAAGTAGCAGTCTTTTATTTAGAAATTCATTAAACTATAAAATAATTGATTCTTTTAAGGTTTTATCATGATTTATCTTTTAATTATTAATATTATTATAGCATTATTTTACGTCTGATATCATTCTATTTTATTCAGATTTAAATACAAAAAAATTGTTAGTTATTTTTGTTTTATGTGATATGAATTTTTTTTTTTTATGTCAAATATTTATACAAAAAGTTCAAGTTGTCCAAAGAAATTTTCTAAAAGGGGTTGAAAAATCGTTTGACCTAACAAAGTTCAAGTTATCGGAAGTTCAATTTAACCAGGGAGTTTTAATCAGTTAGATTATTCAAGTAGGGGTGAACAAAAAAATCTGAATAACCAGATATCCAAGATTCCAGTCCAGTATCCGAATATAAAAATCCGAAAATGTGGATATCCAATCTGGAAAAAGTGGACCTGATGTCTGATCCGTTTTTTACGGATGCAATTTTAATAATAAATAGGATAACTAAACCCGATCCAGTTTTTCATATTTTATAGTTTTATAGGTAAGGTTGCAGACTAGCAACATAAAATAAATTTATCTTTCTGCTTTTTGCTAATTTTCATATTAATAACAGAATTAAATGTTTATAAATAACAAATATTAACTTTATTCTAACATTATTTATTTTGTTCTAAATAGTATCATAATTTTATATAATTAAATATTTTAATTATTATTTCTTTTAAAAAAGTCACTTTAAACAAGATATTGACGCGAAAGGCAAGAAATAAATGCCGAAAATAATTGGAGACTTTTAAAAACATTGACGCCAAATGAACTTATGAAGATAAGATGTATAGATCTCTTTAGGGAAATGTTTTTGAAAGTATGTTTTTTTACTAATTTAGCATATTGTTTATATATCTTTAATCATTTTAAAATTAATAAGTAAATAATATGTAAATACTAAATAAAAGATATTCAACTTTTTACTTTTAAAATTAAAACTCTGTTGCATATTTTTTATGTATGTCTGCTTAATTATTTTATTTACTTTTTTTTGTAAATGTTTATATATATTTTTATGAAGTGCAACAATTTTTTGAAAAAATAATTAATTTTTTGCTAAAATAAAAATGAAAGACACTATGAACTCTTAGAAATGCTTAAAACAAAGATAAATGTTTTTTATACATCCAGGTGGTGAGATACTTAAATGTTATTGTTGCAGTTAAATTGCTATTCGTGTATATAACATCTGGTTATAGATTCCAAAAGCATGTAAGTATGCAGAAGAATCTCCAGTTTGTTTAACTAGTTTTGGATTTAGATAAATCTGGTTTTCCATCCAATTTAAATGAATACCCAGTAATCAGATATCCGCAAAATTGGATATTTCTAAATATCCAAAAAATCATGCGTTTGATTTGGTTTTAACAAACCGGACTGGATATCTGGTTTCGCCCACCCCTAATTTCAAGGTATCAAATGAAACAGAGATAATAAAAATTTGAGTTAACTGCTATTTGACTTACTGAGAATTAACTGTATTATAAGTTTTAACTAAAAATAAAAAATTCATGCAATAGTGGTGTAGTGATAAAACGCTCGATTCATAAGCAAGAGGTTCCGAGTTAACTCCCCACCACATCCCTGGTAGTACCACGCTCAACTTGTTTCTTTTTGAAGGGACCTTGTTTGTCAAGGTTTGTGTTTTGGAGTTATAGAATTAAGAGAGGGTTATAACCACTATTTAGTAGCCTCCTCATCTGTAGTGGCCTTCTTTGCCTTGAGGAGGTGAATAGCAAAAACAAAACAAAAAAGTGTACAAAATTACTGATCATACAGCTACAGGTGTAAGTATGACAAAACTCTAGTGCCAGGGTACAACTAACAGAATCCCATCCATTAAAAAAAAATGTGGGGGCTAAAATTGATAAAATATAAAATATGCAACTTAAACCAAGTGCTGAATAAGCATGTTTTTAATAACAGAAAGTAGTAAATCCTCCGTTTAATCAATTTTACAAAATAGTTTCACCGTGTTTGACTTTAACATAAATTGATATAAATGGTTTTGTACAAAACAAACACTAAATAGTTGTTAGCATACTTTTAAACTTTTAAAAAGTATTGAAAATTTGAAAAAAATCAAAGTTGTTAATAATGGTCTTCAATTCTTAAGACATTAACATTAAATTCTTTAGTCATTAACAAAAAGGATTAGAAGATTAAAAACATTATTTCTAAGTTAAATAATTAATAATATAGTTAATATAATATAAATAAAGTTATTGCAATAACAAATATTAAATAATAAGCTTATTGTTTTAATGTGCATAAATTTTTTAAAATATTTATTTATAAGTATTATGTTTTTATATGATACATTTCAGATAATAACAAATAATTAGCATTTTTATCAAGTATAGGAAATTTACATGACTTTTATAGCCCCAGAATTTTCTTTTTTGAGCCAGGGTTTATCAATGCAACTAAAAACCTCTTTATTTTTGATTTTTTAAATGATATATTTTAAAGGTGTTACAACTATTGTTTTTTTTTTTTATCTTTATGAAGTACAGAAATAGAAATCTTTAAAGTTTATGGGACTTCCTGATTTTTCATGTATTTTTGATTTATTATTTTCATTTGCATTTGATTTAGTCATAATATTTTCAATGACGATAAAGTGCAATATGATATAGAGGTAAGATTTTATGTTTTTAAGCTTATTTTTGAGTGCTTGTATATTGCATATATATATATATATATATATATATATATATATATATATATATATATATATATATATATATATATATATATATATATATATATACATATATAAATGTATATTTACTTTGATAGAATAATATGAAAAATTTTGTGACAATCTGTCGCTAATAGAGGTTAGGATTTGCTTAAGTGTTTGAGGGGGGTGGTAGGAATAAGCGTGCATGTAAGGTACCTTTTCATTTGATTTTTAAAAGGTTGGTACATATTTTTTTCTAGGTTAAAGAATGTTAGTTTGTTTGTGTTACCATTTCAAAACCAATCGTTTTAAAAACTTCAATGATATTTTTTCAAAAACAATCAATTTGTGAGCCAGGTTTCGTGTGAGTTACCATCAGACCATCATCACAATACAGGCCTTGTTTTAAATAAAAAATATTTAACTCAATAGCATAGTGAGAATTTGACGTCATAAAATTCTCTTTATTTTTTTATTTTTAAGGCATTAACTTTTTTAAATAACTGCAATAATTAAATTTAATTAAATTTAATTAAATTTAATTAAATTTAATCTCACATTTTTAAAAATGTTTGATATTAACAAATTTCTTTCTTTTCTTGACATTTGCATAAATGAATTAAAATATGTTAAATTTTTTAATGATTATTTCTTAAATTTCTAATTGTGGCTTTGCAACTACATATGATTTTTTATTTAAAAAAAATTTAGAGAGTAACAAATAAAAAAATTGTGTTAATTTATGTACTTTTGTTTATTAAAAGTTTATTATTTTATTAATGATTTTTTTATAAAAGCAAAGATTATCTTTCCATCATTTATTGAAATTATATCACTGTATTATATTATTTATTAATTATTATTGTAAATTAATCCCTGCGAATTAACTTTGTTTTAAAAAAAAAGTTTAACTTGCGTTTAGTGCAAATTTTTGATGCAGCCGTTTATTTAAAATTTATTTTTGAATAATAAAAATGTTGAGGAAGGAAAACAGAATAATTTAAAAGTTAAAAAATGATAAAAGTTGCTTAACCAAAATCGTTTACTGCTTATGTAAAATGGCTAAAGGCGTACTTAAATTGCTCTATGCGTAACACTTTAGAACAAGGCCTGCAATGTAATCCAATGCGATCTTTATTTATATTGCAGATAAGGAGTCTAATATATTTAGATCGACTAGTTCACAGGTTTGTGCACCATTGAAACAACCCATAGTGACATCAAAGCAGTCATGTGCTAAGTTTTTTTTCATGTTTTGTTGTTAAAAAATAATAGCAAGGTCTTTCTGCAATGGTTAATGACTCTTATGTTGTCTTTAATGATGTATGTGTATTTTTTTGCAAACTATATTGCGTTGCTCTGTATGTTAGATGTGATAGTGCGGTAAAAATAAAATTGTCAAACTTGAAAAAAGGCAACATTTTTTTTCTGGTATATTGTTAAACCATTGCTTCAGTGTTATTTTTCCACTGGTTCAAATTTAATTTAGTAATAACATATTTATATTTATTATTTAAGATATTTTTTGCTGTGGATGTGTTTAGTTTTTGCAGAATTTAATAGACAAGTATGGATATGTTTAGTTTTTGCAAAGTTTAATAGATGACAATGTTTATTGCTTTGGAATCACTCTTTGTGGTCTCTTAGGTTTTATTATTATTTTTATTCCCTTTCCTAAGTTGAATGTGATTGCTACATTTCTGGCTTCAAGCTTAATGAAGTGTTCAAGTTTTTGAGGCGCTTTTTTTGTACGCTTTTGTGATATTTTTCTTGAGAAGCTTATTGTGTTCCTGGGCGGAAATTTGAAGAATATTGTTGGTTTTGTCTGCAAATAATGATATGTTGGGGTTTGTCTTTACAAGTTGCATTTTTCAATACATATGTATTGCAAAGTTCAAGCATCATTGTCACATACATATGGCAAGTAAAAGAAAGCCTCAACATATCAAGGTAAAAAAGTCCTTGCTACAATAACGGCACTTATTAATATTATTTTAAAATGTTATTTTAAAATGCTTGATTTGCCTCCACAAAAAGTATTTAATAATTTTACACTAAGTCTCCCAAGAATTGTTGAACAAAAAACAGTTATAATATACAGTAAAAAGTGTTGTCACTAAAACAAGTTTTTGCTTGACAACCATGAGCCCAAAGATAAAAAAAATTAAATCATGCTTAATGACTTCTTAAAGAGTGTTAAAACTTCAATAAAAGATAATTATCCCAACATACTGTTTTGTAAACAAAGTTTTAGAAGCGATTATTAAAAAAATACATTTTGTTATTAAATTAGTAACTCCTAATATTTGACTAATGTTTTTCAAATCCATTTTATTTATTATCAATCTTATTAATAACAGGAGAAAAATTAAGAAATGGTTGTCAGTAGCTTGTTTAAAATGTACAAAACATTTAGATATGTAAAAAATCAGCTATAATTAGGAGCCATGTATAAATTAACATCCAGAATTGATCAACAACAAGCTATTTATTTTTTCCGCAAATCATTTTACAATAGTTTTGATAATAATGATAATAATAATAATAATAGTAATAATAGCAAAAATATATAAAAAATAACCTAAGATAAAAAAATAATTATACAAATTATAGTAATAGTAATAATAAGTATGTTTACAATAATTAAATGAAAAAATAATAATAATAATAACTAATATTAATATAATAATAAGTTAATGATTAATTAGGATGGTGTCACTCATACAGAAATCTGATCAAAGGAGTGACACCAGTTATTAATATAAGTAATAATAAGCAAAGACACACACTGAAACACATGGACCGTAAACATACAAACCAAAGCACATAAAATATACACCAAAACAAACATGTAGAAATCAATTTACAGGTTTTACTAATAAAAAAAATAAAAAGTGCTGATGATAATTGTAGTAATTACGAAAAAAAAATTAAAATAATATTTAAATCATAAGGATAATAATGCCAAAAAGTTAGAATAAAAAGTTTTTCAGAATTTTTTTTAAATTGATATTGTTTAAAATAAAGTAAAGGTATTTTAGGATATATTTTTTTGGACTCATTCAAAATACATGCAAGGCTCCTGTTCCATTCACAGACGCACTGATAAACAATAAAACATTTACCATACTTCTGGGTTTTAAAAGATGGTACATTTAGTTTTCCATTGTGTATATTTCTAGTCAAGTAGGAATGTAATAGTCTACTTTCTGTGAACAAGATGGTACATTTTTATTTAAGGAGTCAAAAACAAAAAGAAGATTAGCATACTTTACTAGCGCTGGAAATGTTGGAATGAAAAGTTTTTTGAAGGACTTTGATGTATCTGAATTAATTGGTTGGAAGTTTATTAAACTGATGGATTGACGCTGAGATGATAGCAACTTGTTAATGCGATAGTTTCCAACTTGACCCCAAACTTGACAACAATAGCTAAGATGAGATGAGAATAATGCATAGTAAATACTCTTAAGTGTAACTTTATCGACATAATAACGAACTATTAAAAGCATACCGTTAGCTCGAGATAATTTCTTGCTTAGTTCATCAATATAAAAGTTCCATGAAAGATTACAATCAATTAATACACCAAGATATTTAATAACTCTTGAAGGATATAGCCGTTTATTATTAATTTTGATTTTGATTTTAACACTTTTAAAGAAATTGTTTTTTCTTGGAGATGAAAAAAAAGTTAGTTCAGTTTTTTCGGTGTTGAGACATATTAGGTTAGCATATAACCAGTGAACTATACCTTTTAGATCCGAATTAACATTTTTACATAAATAATGATACAATTTTTTAATGTGCAAGAGATTTGTATCATCAGCAAACAGATGGACTGAAGAGAAGTGAACAGAGTTGATTAGGTCGTTAACGTAGATTAAAAACAAAAAAGGACCCAGAACAGAACCTTGAGGAAAACCACTCAAAACTGATTTATAACTAGAATTGAAACCATTCATACTTACAAATTGTTTTCGATCTGAAAGATAAGATCAAAACCAGTCATTTACAATACCGTGAATTCCATAATTTTTAATTTAGAAATCAAAATACTATGGTCAATGGTATCAAAAGCTTTTTGTAAATCTATAAAAACACCACAAACAAAATGACCAGTTTCATAAGCTTTCCTGATTTTTTCTGTTATACTTATTAATGCATGGCAAGTAGAATGTTTTGATCGAAAACCAAATTGAAATTCATTTAAACAATTTAATGAGTTTAGAAAAGAGTACACTCTAGAATACATAAGTTTTTCAGGAAGCCTGCTAATGTTAGATAAGAGAGAAATAGGTCTGTAGTTAGTGCATGAAAGTTTAGAGTCATTTTTAAATATTGGAATAACACAAGATAATTTCAAAATATCAGGAAATTTTCCATTTATAAACGAGGTATTAAATAGTTTAAAAAGAATATTTGAAAAATCGTAGTTAAAATCTATTAAAATATTTGTGGGAATGCTGTTTGGACCTAATGTTGTTTTTGGATTTAATTTAGATATAAGAGATGAAATTTTAGAAATATTTATTGGAGATAATAATAAACTATGTAAATTTGGATGTTTAAGATATTTTTGATAGTTAATTGAATATTGGATTTGAGTTTATGAGCAACATTTATAAAAAAAGTGTTAAATGATTAAGAGATTAAAGTCAGGTCAGTTATATATGTATCATTTTCTTGCAAACAGTTGGTAGATGATTTATTGAAATTTTTTACATTAATTAGAGTGTTAATACCTTTCCAAAGTTCGTGAAGATTTTTTACATTTTCTGAGAAAAATTTTCGAAAATGGTTTTTTTACTAAGTTTAATTAATGTAACTATTATATATTTATATCTTTTAAAAATACTTTCAAATTTCTTTTAATTAATAATATCTTTAGATCTTAACATTTTTTGTGGAAAAGATTGCGCACTTGAATAGATTTTATAATTCCTTTTGTAATC